TTATTGTAAGACTCTTCATCAATGCACATCCACGGTCCCGCCTAGCGAGACTTGAGCACAGGACCTAACATCTAGACCACTCAGCCGGCATCCAACGACCATCCAGTGCTTCAAGGTTATCCATGGTGGTCTGGATTCAATTGACTCACGGTCTCATTTATTGAAATGACTTTAATATCCACAAAAAACCTCTAATACTGTTTGTTTTTATTCAGTATTTTGAGCTAGATATGAATGCAAACTGTCATAAAGGCGTATCATTCAGAAAACTTATCCAGAGATCACCTTTTCAATGTTTAGAGCAAAACCTATTAGTTCACTAGAAAATAAACACATGTTAGGATAAAATTTGGGGATAATTAAAATATTCTTTATCAATCTGTCGTTTAAATAATTGCAATGTGATAAATAATACTGGAATATATGTATATCTAACTATCAAGTCTTCAATAGGATAAGAAATATTTTGATTTTCGCTAATGGATTTTCTTGATTATGATAATGTTCTATGAGTTGAATGGTTTAATTAAAAAAAAGTTCTCATTTACTCTCTTGACAATATCATTAGCTTTTGAAATTATTCTACTTCGAAAATTACCTCGCATTTAAACGCTTTCCAATACTATATATATTATACAGAAAACTTACAAATCTGTTCATATACACTAACCGTAAGCATTACTAATTCAATCTTCTTAGAATAACTAATTGACTACATAAGATGAAGCTCAAACTCATAAAAATTAGCGATTCATGAAGATAACTTCTGTTTTGAGGTTATTTAGAAATTTAAAGTATTGAAGCTTGATTTATTTTTGAGATCTTTTTATGAGACTCATTCCTTATTTGTAAATCTGAAAAGTTTATTTCATGTGTTCTTATCTGAGAACCCTGGCACTCATCTGTTGGATCTCTATCAACAGTCATGTATACCATTAGGTTAGAAGGTCCTATTAAAATGTGAAGAAACTATGTAAGATTATGCCTTTCTGAAATCAAGAATGAGTTCTGCCAACAATTAAATGGTCTTTTTAAGGAGACTCATTTGACAGAGATTGTAGTGCGAACAAGAAATTTGAATGCACAGATAAGATGTCTGGATACAGAATAGAGTCAGTTGGGTGGGTAATTAGGACTTCCAGGTTTCGGCTCAGATAATTGTGACAGTTTCCTCCAGCTTCGTGCAGATCATAATTTGTTTCTGGTCAGTACCAGCGTTCCATCTGCTAATCATTTTTTGCTATTTAAACTTGAACTCAGATTGATCATGTTCTGATCAACTACAACTGTTGAGGATATGTTCAGAACCGTTGCTCATTTTGAGGTGCTTATCAGGAGTTTAATGGTGGCTTCGAACCTGTTAGCATATCAAAACCCTCTAGTTAGGGTTCTAGAGATGATGTGACTCTGTGGGTTAAGAAGCTGTTAGATATAAAAAGGAATGAAACCTAGTGGAGAACATGCCAAAGTTAGTTTTTTTATTCCGAGTAGATCTTTACAGACAAATAGATGTGATAATGGGTTCACCAGTTTGTAGCAACTTTATTCACGCATTCCTTAGAAACCAATGAGATCACAAAATGTATATATGTACCCAAAGTTTAATTACTGTATGCATATAACATTTTTCATCATTAAACAAAATAGTTTAGAAGAAATATTTGGAAAAATGTGAACAACACATCGGATAGCATTAAGCTAATCGGTGAGACAGAATTCACTAACTACAGACTAGTGTTTCTCAATTGTTTGGCTGTAAGAAGACATAATAGTAAGCTAAAAATTAATGCATTCAGGAAATTGACACATTCTGACAGATACTTAGATTACGGTTAAGCTCATGCTTATTATAAGAATGTCATAGTGGTAAAGAATTTAATTAATAGGAGTAGTAATCTCATCACAGAAAAGACCAACAGACTGAATTGAATGAAACATTATCTACAATTAGAGCAAACAATTATGCTAAACAGTTCTCAAAGAAGACTGTTAGAAATTAGTGTATACCGAAAGGATGGACGAACACCATGGTTGTCCCATACCGTAGTGAAGAAATTAAGTGTTCTAAACAAGCATAAGAGTGTATTTTCAGGCCAGTGATACTACAAGATCAGCGTTAGTGGGAGTTAACAATAGGTTTTCAAAAAAAGCACAGTAGAATGTTGTCTACGAGACCAATTCTCATGATTGTAATGGAACTTATGTCGGAGAACTATATAGGCAGTTGAATATGAGGTTGAAGGAACACAAAAAATATTTAAAACATGTTCCCGAATCCTCGGTTGATCTAAAAAACTTGAGAATATGTCGGTGATAGCGCTAAATGATTTAGAAACAAGACATAAAATAAACTTAGAGGGGACTAAAATAGTTCACATAGGGTTTTGCACACATAAAAAAGATTGACAGCAGAAGCTCTGTATATATGAACTGATGAGAACGGTTTGAAGAGAAAAGATAGTATTCCACTAACCTCCCCTTGAGAAATAATCATTAACAAGTAATTGAACCAGATCTCTATCCAACCTGTTTATTTCATATATACTGTTATTCTGACGGAAATTAATTTAAATATTTTATCATTACAATAGTGTATTTGATGATTCTCATTTTACATATACATCGATGTTTAAAAACCATTTTCAATTTGTATGCAAAGATAGATAGTGGCTAGCAGTGGAATCCAGGATGCGCGTTTCGTCCTATTTGGGACTCGTCAGCTGAATGTAGCTGCATCTCAGAGTTGATGTTCACTCTGGGACTGAGTAGCTAAGTGAATAACGCGATGGCGTTTGAAATGAACGGTACTGGATTCGAGTCAATTGTAGTCCTAAACATCAATGGGAAGATTCAAACAAACAATACCAAGTCAGTTATTACTTTTGTTTTCATTTTTAATAAGCAGATGATTCACTGAATATTAACTGTTCATAGCATAAAGTTACACATACATACATACACACACACACACACCTTAGCTCATTTATTTTCACATTGTGAACTATTCATGTAAATCATAACTCACTGATTTATATTATCCTCCTTACTAAACACAGCATAGATTTGATTTATTTGTTAAGCACTATAGATTCTTTGGCAATTTTGACCAGTATCCTGAAGAAGTTCACATAGGTTTGCTGGACGAAACATCGAAATTATATAAATTCCAATCACTGATATTATTTCAAATAAAACTTTTACAAATGATGTCTTCTTTAAACTTGGCGCCTAAATTCTGTTAAACTGTTTGTTTAAATATTAACGAATATTCGTATAAATGTTGAAGTTTACTTCTTTACTCTTTATAAAAGTGAAATGAACTTCCTTTTACTGGAAGTAATTTTTCTTTGTTTTATTTACGTATCTTTTATTATTTACTTTTCTTATTTTACATTTTTACTCCTTTACCTACTTTTATTTGTTTAGAAAGTTTTCTGTTTATTTTATGTGGTCCATATCTTTCTTGGCGCTTTACTTACTAACTTCCTTACGCTTGTTACTCTCAGTGGAGCATGGGCCGCCGACTAGCATTTTCCAAACCATTCTGTCGTGTACCTTCTTTTCTAGTTATACCCAATTGTTGTTCATTCTTCTCTGCCTATTTATATTAGATTTTATATATATATATTAAATGAATATGTTATATCCGAGCGAAGATTAAACCACGAGTAACTCCTGAGACATTAATTGATTAATATTACCTATATATTCTTATGGTGTAATTACTCAATGATTAGATTATGCATATTTATATTCCTCTTATTATAAGTTTTATTTTGACTTATAATTTATTATTGTACGATTTACGGTTCTTAAGCTATGTTCAGTTTATTGACTACTGCCTCCCATGTTCACAGCCACTTTTTGGCTTTATTGTGTACAAATGTTGTTTTCTATTTTATGATACGTTGTGGTCTGTCTGATTGATATATAAACCGAGTATGTTTGAAATAAATGATTCGATTTGATTCACATTGCGCAAGCTGGTATTGAGTTCTGGACTCAAGCGGAGGGGCTAGGAGGAGATAGGACCAATAAGGATGCTAGACTGCTCATACCGGTTGGACGTCATTGGTTTGGCATAGTGCGAAGATTGTATAAGTCGTATTTTGATTGGTAGATTAATCACGTGATAAAAAGCCGGACATAAAGTCATAACAGAATAGATAAAATAGTACACTTTAAGTTTTTTAACTGAAGATGTAATAATAAGATGTAACCGAATTGGAAAATAATATAATACATATTTTAATAGTTGATATCATAAGTCAATTGAAGCTAAACTATTATGTAAAACTTAGAAGCACTAAAAGAACATTTCATCCTATTGTGGGACTCCTGCTTGACAGTACGCATTCATGATCCCACTTCACAAGATTCGTAAGGACCGTCTAGTACTTCCAGATTTTCCATGATGGCTCATGATTTCAACCATTGAAATTATTATCATATCCACAAAAACCCTTCTGATATATACATATGTTGTATTAGTTGTTAAAGAAAGAGATAAAACAAACAAATAAATAAATAAATTCCTAACTCTAACCATCAACTGCAAATCATAATTCTAATTCCTCACACAGATTTATAACCCTCATTTGGTTCTGGTTATTAGGTGAACTCGCTCAAAATCAGTTCTTGAGTTCTACCCAGTCCATTAATTACAGTCTCCCACATTCACATCCACTTTGGTCTAAATCTTGTAGAAATATTATTTTCTAATTTATTGTACAATGTGGTCTGACTGGTCGGTATATAAGCTCAGTATATACCTAGACGATCGTTATGAATCATGTGAAGTAGGATCGTGGATGTGCACTGCCAAGCAAGAGTCTCACAATAGGATAAAACGTTTTTTTAGTGCTTCTAAGTTTTTCATAATAGCCTAACTTCAATTGACTTATGATATTAACTATTAAAATATGTATTATATCATAAAAAAAGGAGAAATAAAACAACAACAAAAATAAAATTGTATCCATGTAAAAATGATAACTTACTCTCTTGTACTTGTCACATTTGTTAATATAATAAAATTTAATCGAACTTTTCTTAAACTAGCCAATATTTGAGCAAATGGTGTTACAATCGGTTCATCAATTTGACTAAAAATACAAAGTGAACCACGTCTTAATACAATATTATTATGATTATGATTAGAATGATTAGATAAATAATCAATATTATTACATTTTATAAAATCAGAATGTTTTATTATTTGACGTGGTTGATGATGAATATGCTTGAATATAGAATTATTATTAGTAATAGGTAATTGTCCTAAACTATCATCTAATGATTCAGTACAATCTTTATCATCATGATTACTCTGATCCTTAATTGTTGTCATATTATCATGCAATGATTTATTTAATGCAAATAATTTTGATTGTTTCATAGATTTTATAGAAGATTTCATTTTATAACTATTCGATAAATTATCTTTTCTAGTTATGATCATATTTGTTTGATCATTTATTATATTATATAATGAATGTGATTGAATTGTATTGTAATGATCTTTATTAGATTTACGTAAACGTTTTAATGATTTCATTTTAAATAAACTAAGTTTCTTCTTAGTAACTAATTTTTTTTCATTCTGATTATGATTTTGTGAAATATCGGATTTTCTTGATTGATATAATTTATGATTATTGATTAATTGTTGTTGATAAGTTGATATCAAACTATGAGCTCTTGGTTTATTCAATAAAAAATCTTTATTATTCATATTTAATTTTATATTATTATTCTTATTCTTATTATTATCATTTAAATTATCATCTAAACCAATATTTTCTGATTTAGCTAATGGAATTGTAGTTTCTAATAGGATTGTTGGTCTATGTTCAGTTTTATAATCCATTTGTAAACTAGGTCTTTGTATTATGAATGAATTATTATTATGATGATATGAATGATTTATAATTAAATTTGTTGAAGGTATCACAACATCTGGTAAACTTCTTCTTTCTTGTTTAAGATAATAACCATTTTTTGTATAATCATATAAATCATTATTTAGTTTCATATGTATATTTATATCATTTTTAAGTTTATCTCCATCATTATGATCATGATCATGATCATTAATCCCATTATTATCATTATCATCATCATGATCAGCATCTTTACATTGATAATCAATAGAATCTTTTTGTTTTAATTTTAAATTCTCTTTTATTTTCTTTCTTTTTCTTTCTTGTTTACGACAACAAACTATCCACATGATAAAAAAGATCTAAACAATCCTTATATATAATATATATTCAATTTAATCTTTTCTTTCATAATAATATTCATATTACATTTAAGATATGGATTTAAATCAAAATCAAAAATAGATTTCTATCATAAACATATATAAATGATCTAATGTGTTTAATTAGTTATTCATTGAATGATAAAAGATATTGTATCTATGTAGATATAATATTAACCATAATGAAATGAGATCCAAATTAGATCCAAAGGATTGCATTTTTACATTCTTCTATTTTATTCATTTATAAATGGGGAAATTATTATAAAATGGATGAAACATTTACAACTTTATCATGATTGGTTATTTTGATGAATAAAAGATGATTGGACTGTCTTATTTTTTTATTTTTTAAAATTTTTTTTTATTTTTTACCTGGATAGGTCTGTCATCTATTTATTGATTGATTAAATGCTAATCTACTACTGTATATTATATTGGTTTAAATTCACTTTCCTATCTGACTACTGACCTTGAACAATAACCAATCATAATTGAGATTAACCCCATTCTCTTATTAAATTTAAAAATCCAAAAAACAAAAAAAAAATAATAAATCAACCTATTGGGCTGATTGAACTCAATCTCAAATTCATGTTAATGTTAATCATTGGTGATAATATTATAGTATCTATCATAGTTATGTAAGTACTTAGATAAGATCATGGATCATGTAAAGCTAATGAATGTGTGATAAACTTAAGCATCTGTCAATGGATGGAGAAATCATTGATGATTACTGTTATAATTTTTATTTTTGTTTGTTTAGTAGTAAAATATCTAAAGTATTCAGTCTTAATAACTCCATCTGGAATCCCTCTGGGGGCTATTGCCAGTCTCAAGCCTGGATAAAGGAGGAGGATTAGGCATGGGATTAGCGACCCTATCCCTTAGAAAACTAACTCACTAAAGAAAAAACGTTAATCAGAATTAGTTAGTGATTCAGTCTTAATATAATGAAGTACAATGTTTTCAGTCTATTCATTGCTTATAAGTTTTGTTTACGTTTAATGTGATTAATATTTGTTCTCGTTTTAGCTAGAGAAGGGATAAATTGTATACAGTACATGATAATACTTAGTTAAAAGTGGAAGAAGATGAAAATACAGATTTAAAGTATGTCGATGAGTCAATCAAATCTCGGCATGTAATTCATTTTAATTAATGTCAGTTTGTAGAACTTCAATTATTTACGTGTACATATTCATAATTATGTTGAAAATGTGGCGAGACTATAGTTTATGGACGGAGCAATCAGGTGTAAGATAACAGGTCTCGAATTTTGGCGCGATATTCACTCATCCATTTGGCTAAATAGATTTATGGCATTATAGCTGATGTCAGTTCATGATAAAAAAATACCCCTAAATCTAATTCCTAACTCTAACCATCAACTGCAAATCATAATTCTAATTCCTCACACAGATTTATAACCACCATTTGGTCCTGGTTATTAGGTGAACTCGCTCAAAGTCAGTTCTTGAGTTCTACCCAGTCCATTAATTACAGTCTTCCACATTGACAGCCACATTTGACTAAATCTTGTACAAATGTTATTTTCTAATTTATTGTACAATGTGGTCTGCCTGGTCGGTTTATAAACCCAGTATGTTTGAAATAAATAATTCATATTACAGATGCTGAGATTAGTGTTCTGAACTTAACAGGCAGGGCTAAGCGGGAAGCAGGAACTATAATGACATTAGACTGCTCGTACTGGTTTTATGCGTCATTGGTCCGGTCGATAATTCACTGTTCTCCCATTGGCAGTATCATTACGTTAACATTAATACGACACAGGGTACAAGTTATAACATCCTCTTGATTTTTATAATTCCTATCAACTTTAGAAAAATTGTAATTTTAAAGATTATGATATTTCAATAGTTATGATCATGAGTCAATTGAAGCTAGATCACTATGGAAAACCTGGAAGCACTGGACGGTCGTTTTGTCTTATTCTGGGACTCCTTCTTAGCAGTGCGTATCCACGATCCCATCTTGCAAAATTTGAACTCAGGACCTATCAGTCCTGATAATAATGGTGGACGATGGCGCAACTTCATTAATTCATTGAAGTTAAACATTAACACCGTTTGGTCAGCTCAGTGGTCTAGTGATTAATCGCCCGCGTACGAGACTTTTAAGTACTGGGTTCGAATCTTGCTGGGCGGGATCGTGGATGCGTACTCTTGAGGAGTTTTATACTTGGACTAGATGATCGTCCAGTGTTTTCAGATTTTCCATGGTTATGCTATTGTTTATCATGACCCATTTTATTTTAATGAATTCATTAAAAAAGTATTTAAAAAAACGGAAACAACAGTTTTATCAGGATAACAAGGTGACACATTATTTCACCAATGTTAATTGTTGAAAGAAACTTTAAGGGGAATTATCGAATTTAGATATCATGGTTCTTAGTATTAATTAATAAAGAATGTTAACCAGGTTCATTTTTAATATCCCTACACAAATTTATTCCTTTTATGGATACATATATATATATGTAATCAGATAGATCTTATGTTTATTAGATGTGTCATTGTTATTAATGTTAATTATATTGTATTAATTCTTATGGAATTAACTATTTACTCGGCATTTATATTACCTTCTCTAAATATGTGTGTATATGGGCTTTATTAACTTGTCTTATTCACTCGTTTCAACTAATATAAACTTGCTAAGAAATTCATGAGGTTAATCTACAATACATCTGTAGTGAAGGAGCACACAGATGAGGATTGACCGAATTATATTTGGCACAAAATTATAGAGTTACTTGGTAAAATAGAAAAACCATACTATAATACTTAATTTGCGAAGTGTTCAATAATTGTCTCGGACTTCATTGTTCTTGCATTTCCATACTAATTGCATCCTGTTCCATTCTTTACTATTTGATCCTCTTGAATCTCTGCTGCTACACCTTCTGTTCACAACTAACATCATATACTACTTATGTCAGTGTAAGTAGCACGCACCACACATCCATTTATCTACTTTCATGATTTATCTTTTAATCCACAAATGTTTCGTATTAGACCGTTTTCTTTTTATTCTTTATATTGCTTTATTCAGTTACTCTGATTACGTAATGGGTTTCATTTTAGACTATAATCGAAAAGAATTCGGTATTATTTGAATTAGAGATTTTAACCGATTAGAGTCACATAGGCATTTAAAGATATTTTCAGTGAAATACCAGCCTACGTTATTTACTTAGCTCTTCAATCAAAACATTTTAAGTCTTGTTTACATTTGTAGAATTGAGTATGTATTGTTAATGACAACATAAATCATAGGAATACTTAAAAGGAAACTATATTTTCTTACAAGTTCTTTCTAGTAGAGTTTACAAATAAGTAGTGTGGTGTGTGCTACTTATATTGATATAAGTAGTATATGATGCGAGTCAGGAATGTACTGTCTGGCATCAGAAGATGAGGGAAGATCAAGAAAGCCAGAGCGGGAATAGAATGCAATTTGTATGAAATGTAAGAACAATGAAGTCTGAGGCATTTTGAGACAATTGGTGGACATTTTGCAAATTTACGATTTGATATATAGTTCTCAGATTTTATTAACATTCTCTGTAAGTTTGTGTTAGATACATTCGGATGTCCCCACCCGTGTTCTGTTCACTACAGTAGTATTTTATTGTAAGTTAATCAAAGGATGTAATTTGGTATTTTGTTTTACAATATCATGTACTCATCAGGAAATTGGAATGTGTCTTCATTGATAATATGAAATAATTGCTCTATAACTAAATGAAAAGATTGTCAATTATTCACTAACTAGTCTGAATATTTAGATTCATAACGATTCCTCATTCTCAGTAAACAGAGGAGTATCTTTTTTAAAGTATATTTCATTGATAGATTGGGAATTTAGGCTATTTTAGTGATATAAGAATTTATCAGAAGGGGTTTGTGGAGATTTTAGAAATTTCACAGATTGAAATAATCTAAAATCTCCACAAACCCTTTCTGATAATAATCATCCGCTCACTAGTGACTGACTTCAAGAGATACTTCTGGAGTTCTAGTGAGAAGTCGTTACCAGTGGAGTTCAATCATCTCTGTTGGTATACGGTGGCGCAACCTCGTGGATTGGTTGACGTTAGATATTAACACCATTGGATGCCGGCTCAGTGGTCTAGTTGGTTAAGCGCCTGGCGGGAGGCTGATAGGTCCTGGGTTCGAACCTCGCGGGGTGCAGGGTCGTGGGCGCACATTTCCAAGGAGTCCCATACTAAGACGAAATGGCCGTCCAATGCTTCCAGGTTTCCCACGGTGATCTAACCTCAATGGACTCATGATTTCAATCTGTGATATAAGAATTTGTTCAGTAGATATGTAGATTATATACGTAGTTTTAACTTAATAATCAGTCTGTAAATTTTGATTGTATATTAGTTTTAATTCAATCTGTTAACTGAAACAAATTACATCGTATTTTCATTGAAAACATTAACCTATCAACATTTCAATAGTTGAGATCATGAATCAATTGAAGCTAGACAACCATGGAAAATTTGGAAGTACTGGAAGACCGTTTCGTCTTATTGTGGGACTCTACAACAATGTGTATTCACGATCCCACCTCGTGAGATTTGAAAAGAATTATTAATGTTATAATCATTGAAGATAGTTTTCAGAAGTAATCGAAGTGATGAAAGCAAGTTCAAGTTATATTAGATTAAACAGTATAAAAATTCAAATGTATTCAGTTATAAACAAGATTGTATTTTACTAATGGTAATCACAAATTATGACTAAACTAAGAAATTATTAATGTTAGATTCATTCAAAGCTTCAAAAGAATAGATCTGTAATTCTATAATCATTAGATTAATTTTAATAAACATAAAATCTATTTACTATCCTTAGTAAACAATACTTTTAACAAGGAAATTTTAATTCAACCGGGTCTGTTGTGAGATAGTAACTTACTGATGGTAATAGTGGATGTGTCGCTCAATTTCGTGGATTGGTTGAAGTTAGACATTAACACCGTTGTATGCCGGCTCAATGGTCTAATGGTTAGACGCCCACGCGCAAAACTGGTAGATCCTGGGTTTGAAACTCGCAGGGCGGGATCGTGGTTGCGCACTGCCACGGAGGAGTCACACAATAGGACGAAACGGTAGTCCAGTGCTTCCAGGTTTTCCATGATGGTCTATCTTCAGTTGACTCATGATCTCAACCATTGAAATTTCATAAATAATGATTAAGTAATTTAAATACATATATTTTTATATAAGTACAGCATTTTCAACTATACCCTTCTACATATTACTACTATTAGAGATTAGGAATTAGGTTTCTTCTTTTTATATAAACATTTATTTTCAGAAAGGGTTTTTTTTCGGAGATTTTAGTAATTTAATAGTTGAATATATGAGTCGATTAAAGCTAAACCACCATAGAAAACCTGGAAGTACTGGACGGTCACTCCGTCCTAATATGGAACTCCTCAAAATTGCGCATCCACGATCTCGCACACATAATCCGAACCCATGACCATCGGTCTCGCGCGAGAATGCTTCAAATCTAGACCACTGAGCCGGCACCCAACAGTGTTGATATCTAACTTCAACCAATCCACGATATTGCGCCACAGTCCACCATTATCTTCAGTGAGTAACTGCCTCATAACAGACACGATTGAACTCCACTGGTCATGGCTTCTCACTAGAACCTCTTCAAGCCAGTCACTAACGAGTACATAATGATTATTATCATCAACATACTAAGACTAAACGACTATTCAGTGCTTCCAGATTTTTCATGGTGGTCTAGCTTCAATTGACTCATGATCTCAACTACTGAAATTACTACAATCTTCACAAAGCCCCTTCTGATACTAATCAACATATGCTCACTAGTGACTGGATTCAAGAGGTCTGTTGTGAGATAGTAAGTCACTGATGACAATAGTGGATTTGTCGCTCAATCTCGTGGATTAGTTGAAGTTAGACATTAACACTGTTGGATGCCGACCAGCTCCATGGTCTAGTGGTTAAGTGCTCGCACGCGAGACTAGTGGGTCCTGGGTCCGAATTCCGTGAGGCAGGATCGTGGATGCTCACTGCTAAGGAGGACTCCCACAATAGAACGAAACGGCTGTCCAATACTTCCAAGTTTTCTATGGTGGTTTAGCTTTAATCGACTTCAATCTCCACCAAATCCCTTCTGATACTAATTAAACGATCATTTAATAAAAATTATTATCTTCACAGAATATGAATAATTTAAGATTAATTTTATTTTAATGACTAGCATACTTAGTACGAATACAGTCGATTGTAAGTTTTACAAATATTCCTTAAAGTAAA